CCACAACCACCCACACCCTCCCACACCCTCCCACACCCACACTCACACCCACACCCACACCCACACCCACACTCCCACACCCACACCCACCCTCAGGAAACAACAAAAAAAAACATATGAATAGTGAGTTAAAATGAGACTACGAATAAAACCGGTCATGGTAGCTCATTTTTACACATTATATCTAATTTTCCAAGATATCACAGGATCATTATTCCTCAAATTTTGAAAAATAGATATATATGTGATGCATACATAAGACTACCAAGGTGCCATCTGATGAGACTCTTGAGCAAGGTCGAAATCGGTTAAAGAGAAGAACACATGTTTTTCTCGATGTATGTAGTGTTGTGGATATTAAATTAAAATGTGTATAATATATGCATATAATATAAATTTCATTTCTCTTTATTAATGAGAGATGAAATTTGACTGAAATTAGTTAAAGTTGTTTCATTCGAATCTCTAACAAGATGTAAGTAATAAAAACTTCGATTAATTTCGGTCATTTTTTTTATCAAAGACTTTACAGGGATATGATGGTTGCATACATGAAAAGAAGAAATCATAAGGAAATGGAAGCAGCAATAGCCGCAACAGTAGGAAATGCAGGACGAGGAGGAGCAAAAGAAAGATAAAAGACAAGAATTAGAATATGTCTGACTGTATAAAGTTGATTTAAAAATGTTCAGCTAATCATGACTTTCAGATCAATGAGATATTCGTAAAGATGAAATTCGATTGCACTAAGTAATTGATTGTTTCTCATTTCATATTCTATACAGTCGAAATGATGTAATTGCACCGATGGTCACATCGGTTAATCGGTGTTCTGATCGACTACTCTACAGTATAGCGTATATCTCACTTCGAATACTGAAGTCTACTCTACGTCAAAGTTGAAGGCGGAAAAGTGGCGATAAACTATCATTAGTGAAAACCTATCTATAATTACAAAGCATGCACTGTATTGTAGATAGATGAAAGTATTGGAAGTATAGAAAAAGCATTAACACAAAGTTCACGAAACGAAAGACGAAATGACGCAATCACACTGATGGTCACTCTAATAAATCAGTGTTCTGATCTTCGATGTCTCTATTATAAAGAAGATGCATATTTGAATTATGAAATCTTGCTTCTAGTAAATTTGAATTCAGAAAACTGGTGGTACACTATCATTCACGAAAATATAACTAAGATAAACCGCATGCGAAGTGTTGTAGACAGATGCAAGTTCGCTTAGTATGAGAAGAACATTTACGTATACCTCAGAACAGGGGAAAGCAGGGGATTAACATTTATAGTGGTAATCCTGCGGCCTCCGGGTCTCTTCACAACGCTCAAGTGCACGTTTATCTCGTTCTATATTCTCGATGATAAAAAACACAGATACCGCAAACCAAAAGATTTCTTCAATGATACAAATCATTGTGATAACACACTTTCAAGACTTGACGGCTATAAATAATAAGTTCATCTCACGATGGTCGAAATGATGCTATCACACCGATGGTCATTTGATTAATCGGTGTTCTGATCGACTATGTTTCTCGCATTCCTGCATTATATAACAGAGATAATAACATTCGATAGATAATTGGGTAGCTTAATGGTAGAGCAAACCAACCGGATACTGGAAGATGTGGGTTCGATTCCCATCCTGCTTTCATGATTCTTTCTACTTAGTCTTTCGTGCTAAGTGGAGCATGTCAAGTGGATAATATTCTTCTTAATTATGAGAATATAATTACGTGAACAAGTAAAATGATCATAGATAGTTCATTTTTGAACTCTAACATCGCTTTCTCTTTCGAATTAAAATATTAATTACAAACAAACTCACTCACCCTCAGCGTTAAAAAACTTTATTTTTCATTTCATGTTATATCATTTGTCAAAAATAGATAAAAATAATAAATAAGTAAACAAATCAAGAAAAAAATGAAACGAGTCATCGTCTGTTTTGACTCATCCTCAACCTCTACAGCATTTGAGAAAGAATAACAACTTGTCTTTTTCAATCACTTCAGATTTCATTTTTTTGTGTGTCTACCATCAACATGGCACATTCGATGATCTGTGCTCGATGTGGTATGCCTATTGTTCTTAGGGGCTATCCATCCATGGTCGTCTTTTAGTGTGGTCACCTGATGCACGAAAATGATTATTTTTATCACTCTCCTCTCACTACCGTGTGCATCATATGTCAGGTAGAAGCCGGACCACTGGTTTATCGGTAAGTAGGGAAGACTATCATCACTTTTTCATTCATTCAATTCCCTATTATAGATAATAATAACAACAACAACAACAACAACACCTGCAACATCCAGTTCGTTTTATTAAACACATACTATTTTTTGTATATGATATTAAACGAATAAAAACAGAAGAACTAGAACTAAAAATGTGTGAATGATTCAATTTCATTGGCAATTGCTGTTTGTGCGTATGCCTAAAGAAAAAAGATTACTAAAAGCATGCACTACGGAAACAGAAACATCAATTAACTTCTTTTTGAACCACCGTTTCTTTCTTTCTATTATAGTTACCTATTGACATCTCTTTACATTAATGTAATTTTATTTAAGACTAGGGAGAATATCGGATAGTTTAACGGTAGAACAGCCAACCGGTTATTGGAAGATGTGGGTTCGATTCCTGCTCTGAGTTAATGATCCTCGTTCTTCAAGTTGTTCGTACTTGTTGAAGCATATCCACTGTGGATGCACTCATTTAAAAACGATTTGTATTGATCGTGAACAGGTGAATTGATTTGACAGATTTTTAACTCTTTATTTCATTTCTCTTTAAACTCATCCTCACCCTCACCCTCAAGATTGTTATTGTATATGAAAAACTAGCAAAATTACTATCAATTGTCTCTTTATTTTTAATAAATTAATTAACAAGACCTATGTTTACTTATTTTATTATTAATCAATCGATAGTTACATAGGCAAAACAATCAAGTAACATCAAGATTTGAATTGATTATTCGTTATTTCATATACAAAAACAATTCAATTCAATGAAAACAAGCAACAAACATTTCCTTTTTCTCTCTTTCTCTACCGATGATGGCGTTTGAAATGCCGAAAGCTCTAGTTAATTCGTTGTACTTACTTATTTATTATTATAAAACTAGCAAAATTACTATCAATTTTCTCTTCATTTTTAATAAATTAATTAACAAGACCTATGTTTACTTATTTTATTGCTAAATTCTACTTCTATGTACGCCTTGTTGAAGTCAATTTCATGATTGGTTTGAAACGAAAAAACAAGGTATATCGTATCAAACAGAACATTCTTCTATGCATATATGGTTTAAAAAGAATAGCGTCGAGTCAAATGAAGTGAGAGGTGGTAATAAACGGGTTAAACTCGCTGATAGCCATGAATATTTTTGATCTTTCGCAACCAGAATCATTCATTCAAATAATACATTGAATGATAGCATTTATTTTATTTTAGAAAAATATCAATCTTACAATTGTGTACAGTTTGATACATGCGTTTCTAGTAATTTATCGTTCAAAAGAATTTAAAAAAGCAGTTGATTCTTTTATAAGAATACAAGACAGCATTCGAGTTGTATTCATCAGTGCTCTAAAGCATATTTATTTATTTCTCTTTCTAGAAGTAACATTTAACGTATGGAAATGAACTTTGCTCAGTTTCTGACGTAAATTGGTACAATATAGTTATTGTTCCTGGCATGCTGAATGTAGCCGGTGTCGTTTCTGTGACACTCACTGGACGCTTTGGATCAGTTGTGGACGAGTATGCAGTTAGAGTTTCATGACTAATAAATTCGAAACCGACTGGATGAATTTGACACTTATCATCGTATCTTGACATTTCGGTATTTGACCATCCTGCACAATTGGCTATTTGAATTCGGACATTGACGCATTCACGCGTATTCAAATCTACATTTGCTTGAAAATAGGTGCCGTTTGTGAAGGAGACTTTATAGGTCGCACCATACTCAGATTCAAACCAGTTGCGATATCCGATTACTGTTGTCAAATCTGAAGCAAGGACAGCTTGCACTGAATACTTGCTAGGAATCCGCAAAGCTCCCATCACAAGATCGTAGGCCAAAGTAAATGTAACACCAGGCGGTGGTAACATATGTTCAGGAAGAAATAAAAGGGGTTTTCCATTAGTTTGACTTCCAACTAAAAGGAGGAGTAGAAAAGTGAGAACAGTGGTACTCATCTTGTTTTCAAATAGAGTGTGTGTAGGAATGCATATTCGACTATATATATTTCGATTTAATCTCTTTCATTTAATACAGCTGTTTAGATTCTCATGAACATAGAACTGATAAAAACATTGTCACAATACACCTACTAATATTTACTTTCCGCGTTTAACCTAAACGCGTTTAACCTAAGAAATCGTCCCCCTCTTTTTAACCAATAGCATAATATCGTAATCTACTGCGCTGCAATCCAGTGAGTTACAAAAAACTAGATCATCTTTTATAGATGATCAATGATTCACTGCAGAAAAAACCAACATATACAATAGTTTTTTTTGGAACTAGTTGTGTAATTCAAACTTATTAATCTGACTATAAGAGCAGCTTCGAAAATGTTTCTTACAACTACTTATTGTTTTATTTCATTGATCTCAAATTTGTAAGTTATTTATCTGCGCTTTATCATAGTTCTCTCTTTGTGTTGATTGAGATTGACCGACATTTATGCGCACGACGGATGCGCGTATAGACACTTTCGCGCCAATTGAGGAACACATGATAAATTAATTTTTGCTTAAATTTAATTTGAATTATGAACGGCCGGAAATTTATATGTAGCTGCTGATAGAGAAATAGTTTTCAATTTCAAAAAATATATTGATATAAATTATTAACAGAGATAAATAGTATTTATTTACAATTAACACAAAAGAATACGCTAAGTGAACAATAATTGAGAATAAAGAACGTAGTCATTCAGAAATTAAACACTGATCTGGCCATGTTAAAATCGTAGTGGATCATGACATTGTTGCGGATTCTTTTTAATTTCATAATTATATAATGCTTTTTCAATTTCATCTGGATCTGGTGCTCGACATATGTGATCTTGATAAGCTGTATAACTTCCATCATCATAACGAGCACGTCCTTTGCGGCTGTTTGTAACACAGTGCCAAACTAATCTATCTCGACGGTATCGATAACCATCAAGTAGAAGTTGGTCTTTGCCTTTGACTGATTTAATAAGAGACATTTATATCTTAGAAATGATTAAAATAATACATATATATATATATATATATATATATATATGCTTTCTTTTTATAGTTTTATCTCTTTTATTTTGTCTAGTTTTAATCTCATTTTGACGCAAAAAGTAAGTTTGATGTTAAAATTAGATAATCCTTTGGTTTTCATTAGTATCTTTTATCTATTTTCTTAATAATCAAATGTGACTAACAGAACATTTTTATTTCTGTAAATACATATGAGCAATTCAATCAAATGAGAACAGAACGAAAAATAATTTATTTTACGCGCAAGCGTCGTGCGCGTTCACGTCTTGTGCGCATATGTCGTGCGCGTAAATGTCGGCGCGTAAGTGTCGGCGCGCAATTGTCGCGCGCGTAAATGTCGTGTCACGCCAGACTCCACACACACCCACACCCAGATTGAAAAACCAAAAGATGTTTGCTTCAAATTTTATGATCTATGCTGTTCAATTAACAATTGCAATGAAAGAACGCTATTAATGTGTGCCTGGTGCAGAAAAGCTCTTTGCTATTATCATTTGGTTGAAGATCTACATCTGCACTTATAACACATTTGTTAAAATAGTATATTATATAGTATATTGTTCTCAGTTGCAACAAAATCGAAATTATTGATGAGTTAAACGTGTCGATAACTACTGGCTGATATTTATATAAAATATTTCGATACTACTTAACTTATAGAAGATATCCAAACTAATGTGATTTTAATGCTATTGATAAACTTCAGAAAGATTCTTGCAGCCTACTATTGAATTACTCAGTTGATCAAATGAAAAAATGAATATAAATAGTCCCATTGTTGTTCCTATGCATCCAAATTAATAGTACTGTAAAAATCGAATATCTCTTTCTAGGCAAGCCAAGGACCGCTAATATTCTAACCTTGTTAGTTTGGCGATGAGAGCTTTCGTTTGACCCGAATATGTGCCATCTATTCACTTCTCGACATACATATCTCCATTGTTAGTGTGCACAATTATAGTGAATTTTATAAAGTTATTTATTATTTCACATTTAATGTGTCATTAATACGTAATTTTTATTATTTATTTGTGCTATCTTAATACAATCAATCGATTTATGTTGTATTTTATTTTATACGGTTATTGTTCATGATGTTGAGCTAATGTTGTATAAAATTATGATGTCTTGAGAGGTATGAGGGTGTGAGTGAGAATGTGTAACGTCTTCGCACTGTCACTCTTACATCTCTAATTTCGCAAGGAATTACGAAGGAATTTCTGTTACTTCTGAGTTTCTTAACAAGTTTCACATAGGCATTAGGTGATTTTATTTCGTTAATTGCACTTTCCTAAAGGCGGCTGATTCCTTTCTTTAAGAGTCTCATTTGAGCAACTTTTGGCACTGAGAAACAGGCTCATTTCGCCGTTTATGACAAACACAAAGATACAAATACAGGTGCAAGCGGCTTGATTAGGAAAATTCGTTATTTGAACAAAAAAGGACAAATGACAAGTTCAAATTCTACCAAACATAAACCCAGGCGTAAGAGGTGACAATCGATTTTGCTGGTGAACCAGCTGGATGTCCACCAGATTCAAGGATGCATTTAACTCCTCTGTCATCCAATAGATCTCCATTTCGCCAGACAAATCGGAAACCATTCGTGAAAAAGATAGGATCCATATCGTGCATTCGATAAGCTGACAATTCAAAGGTTCCCTCTTGATTTTTGAAATGTGTAAAACCTGAAATTTCAAAATGAAATTGTCCTGCATCGAATGTAAATGCGCTATCAAAATAATCTTCAGTACCCGTTGAAATTCCTTCCCCGGGAAATGGTTGGTCATATTCAGTATAAGCATGATAGCAGCCTTCGATAAAATTTATACTGGCACTAGAAACGGCTAGTGTATGAGATAGAAGAAAACCTTGACCGGTAGTAATATTGGCCACCGTGACGAAGTCCAACGCTTCATATAACCGATTTTCAATCTTTTGTAAAACAAGTCGTGCATTAATTGGCAATGTAAAACCTTGAAAATTTGTGGGCAAATTTTCCGCGCCACGCACGATGATCCACATGGTTCTACTTTGAGTTTCCGAACTTGCCAATTTTCCTGTCACTCGAATTGATTTTTGAAAAGGAACTCGACTGAAAAAAAAGAACATCGATTTGGGGATGCACAATGATATTGATGCAGGCTTACAAATTGTTGAACCAGCCACGTTCGTTTGCACCTTTACCCATCCATTTTGTACCCCATGGTGCAGCTTGATCATTGAATCCGGCGCCGACGAGCATGGACGGAATGAATACAATCGATGGTTGCGTTTCTCCATCGATATAGTAAGAAAATGTAGCGAAATCAAGTGCTAAAGAAATGCAACATGTTCGAAAGAACGACGTCAAGAAGAAATATCTAACCTGGTTCGCCTGTTACCCAGAAATGAGTAAGAACACCGAAAGATGAGTCAGCAGAGAGTGTATGATTTAAAATTTCCGTCTAGATATCATACAAAAGTGATAGTATTGGTAGAAAATTGTCGTAGCTAACCTCGTTTGGATAGATTGGAGAACTAGAAAGAGCCACACTAAAAGTACGGAGTTTTTGTGCTGTTGTAGTCAGTACACACGCAAGAAGCAAGATTTCGATGTGCATGTTTGAATATAAGGTTACAAGTTGTGTTTGCAGTTATTTCTTATAGTTGCATTCTTATCTTTTTGTTTGCTCACACCTGTATCTCCCTCTACACCAACATAGCATCTGCTTTAAAACACTCTATGTAGTGGCGTAACCAGAAAATATTGGTAGAGGGGGCTCAGCCCCCAGCTCTTTTGAAGTAAACGGGTGTCCCACAGCGGAGAGTTGTGGGAGTGACCTCCAATCTTGAAAAATTTTCGTTTTTTCATGGCAAAATTTACGTTTTTTTCGGTTTTTGTGCTTAACAATTTGCAAAAAAAAGGCTTGTATTTCCCCAAAGTTCGGTCATCTTTAGAAAATTTTTTTAACGACTTTCTATATTATCGACCCCTCCCCTCCCCAATTTTTCTGACTTCGGGACACCCCTGGAAGTAAAATATGGTAACTTGAGTTCTACTGAAACAATGCATGAAGACAATATAGAAGTTGAAATATTTAACCCTTTATTATGAAAAAAAAAATAAATTGAACATCAGAATGAATACAACTACCGCAGCAT